ACTGCTCCAGGGTGCCGCACCGACACCGCGTGCCTCTAATGGGGATCACACTGCTCCAGGGTGCCGCACCGACACCGCGTGCCTCTAATGGGGATCACACTGCTCCAGGGTGCCGCACCGACACCGCGTGCCTCTAATGGGGATCACACTGCTCCAGGGTGCCGCACCAACACCGCGTGCCTATAATGGCATTCCAACGCAGCAGAAATGTCACGCGCAGCCCTTGTGAATGTACTCGTTAGCACATGCCATCTGCAACACCTGACAAAGCTGATCAAGGTACCACAAGACAGCTTAATGCATGTTTAATGTGTAATTCATTTTACAAGGATAGGTCATATAAGTTAACTATAAATGTTCTAACCCTTCATTTTCTTTCCCTTGCTTGTTTTTATATGTTTCTATGACGTGTTTCCATCTGCCAGGCTTAGCATCTTGTTTCATAAAGCATTTCTGAACCGACTCTAAACTTTGCATTTTTTTTCCAGAGAAACTCTGCCAATATGAAGAGCACAGTTTAAGTGGAAACTTCTTCCAAAGTAAGGAAATTACAAATAGACAAGCAGACATGCACTGTCTAGTTCAGGGGTGGCCAGTCTTATCCGCAGACGACCAGTGTGCATGCAGGCTTTTGGGATAACCTGTAGGTCAGCTGTTCAAACACAGGTGTGAGGACTCTTCAGCCAATCAGTCCTCTAATTAGTAATCTAATTCGAGAGTTACAGCAAAAACCCACATGCACAAATGGCCCTTTCTGGATAAGATTAACGAACCCTGGTGTAGTTTGATGTTATTAAGATTTTGGCAAGCATATCAGACCAGTAACCGTATTATTTGTGGGGGCAAATAATATTTTTATTATTATTGTGAAACATATGGTGGGATGGTGACAGTGGTTGTCACTGTGGCCTCACATTTCCAGGGCCGGGGATTTAAATCCTTACTGCACTCCTTCAGCATCCGAAAGACAAGCAGTAAGGCCAATTGTGAGTGTATCCCATCCTGGATGCAGCCCAGCCTTGTTCCCTGTGCTGCCTGGACTAGCCTGTGCTGCCTGGACTAGCCTGTGCTGCCTGGATTAGGCTCCAGGCTCCCTGTCACCCTGTACTGAATAAGCATCTGGATGATATACGCATGGATAGTAACACCCTAGGATTTCTTATGTCCCATTTCACGCATCCATTCTGCAGTGCTGTTACAGGAAGGCATGTTTTGAGCTCAGGAAATGAATTTTGCAGCAGTAGCTGGTTTGCTGTTTAAGCCATTGGGGCCGTCAGCATGCATCTGGGGGGGGGGCCCAGCTTAGAGGGGGCCCAGCTGTGTCATGTCTGCCGCAGGTGCCGGTTGTGACACGTGGCAGGCGTGCAGCCCAGAGGACAAGCCGGGTGCTGAGCCTGACCAGGCCGTGAACCTGCCCCCCAGTGCCGAGAGCGAGATGGAGGCCCAGCTGCAGGACACCCAACAGAGGCTCAGCCTGAAGGAGAGAGAGGTAAACAGTGGCAGGGGGGTGTCTGACTTTCTCTTCTCCGTCACTGTCAGGTCCCTTAGCATTTACTCACTCAGGAAATACAGAGAAAACACTGACAGCCTGTTTAAGGGCTTTCTGATGCAGTTTATCACATAAAAGATGGGTCCTTGAGAAACAGGCAGGACCCCAAATTGCGTCTCACTAAGATATCAGACTCCATCTTTGCAGTTGTGACAGAGAAGTTCATTGTGTGTATTTTTGCATGCATATGAGAATTCGTTCACAGTTTTGTCTCTGCAGTGCAAGGACCTGCGAGCTGAGCTGGAAGCTGTGGAGCACGAATGTCACACCTGTCTGTTCCGCCTGGCCCAGTGTAGAGAGGAGCTCAGACGTTTGAATGCCCGCAGAAGACCGGTGAGGACCCATCAGCAATGCTCACACAGCCCTCGCTCTACCCCTTTAACGTGAGGCCATGCCCACCATCGATATGGCCACACCCATCACCACCGTCTTCCTGCCCATTATATCTCCCCTTTCAACACTATGCCCTGCTCAGCCAAGTCCATAACCTCCCTTCCATTACCTCTTCATACACAATCTATTAGAGTGTGTATGCCCACTCTTATTTTTATGGAGGGAGCAAAAATGTGGACTGTCTGGCAGGGAGCAAAAATTTGGACTGTCTGGCAGGGAGCTCGGAGGGAGCAAAAGCATGGGGTGTCTGTAGGCCCCTTAGGACCGGATTGGGAAGCACGGATATAGAGGGTTTAATGAAGTTACCGGGGGTGACGGGCATCCTTGCTCTCCTCTTCCTAGAGCTGCGGCTGCTCCTGGCTGGGCCTGTGTCTCCTCATGGCCGTGGTGATGGGCACGCTGGCTGTGGTGCTGCTCTACCAGCCCGTCTACGGCGAGCGCCTCCAGGAGGTCTGCCGGGGCCTGAGGCAGCGAGTGGAGAGCTACATGCGGGAGGCAGCCTTGCCGGGCCACTCTGGATGCTACAGACCGGTCTGATAACACTGCCCAAGGGAAAGGGAGCGTACACACTGCGCTTCAATCTCCAGGCGTGTGTCACTTGTGAGGAACGTCTGGGAGCACGCCAGAGACTGAAGAAAGTGTTATGTTCAGCCTCTCAAGCTAATGTTAATTCGTCAGGCCCTAAAACTACTGTCCTCCTGTTAATATGCAGCATACAGTGATGTAAAACACATAATTCACGATTATAATTTTTCTGTTTTGTTAAAACTACTTATTGCTTTTTCTGCCATAGAAGTCTTTAGTCTCTCAGCCTTTCTGTATATGACATTTCACACACAGCAAGGTCTTGATAGTCGTTGAATTGCTGTATTTTTCAAGTGGTAAGAGAGCTCATATTTTAGGTATTATATAGCTAGAAATGGTAGACGGAGCTGAACCTTTGTATTTCGTATCATTCCCTGCCAATTTTCAGTCTGCATTTTTTGATAATGTATGCCTGTAATATTACAAAAGCACTCTGTATAAACTGACAGTTTTTGGGGGGTTTAGTGAACCCTTTGACTCAACGTCCATAGAGGATGTTAAACCTTCCATCCTGTCCTGGTTAGCAAGTGGGAGATTGCTGGCAGATGGGGGGCGGGGGGGAGGCGCGTGGCTGTTGGTGGGGGGGGGGCGATGCCACACTTCTTTTGTGGTTAGCACAGGGCACAAAGATGGGATGAGATGTCAGTCCATCTCAGGATATCATGACATCTGCCTTAATTGTTCTCATTTTAAAATAATACCACACACTTATAATGCATTCAAAATCACCAATTTAACATGTAAGTTAGTTTGTTTATGTTTAAAAAGGGCCAGACGTTTGTGAATTCAGTGGGGGGTACTTAATCATAGCTGTTACTATCAGAATGTTAAATAACCAAGCTAAAGAGTTTTGTTTAATTAAAGAAACATACAGCTGCAAAAACACATACATAGAAACCTCGGTACACTTGAAGAAAACAATTACTAAATATAATTAATAACTAGTAATTAAATAATTACTAGTAGTTTTAATATATTTTAGTACATTGTTTTTACATTAATGTCCAAACATATGGCAGTATTTTATGTTATTTGTATTATTTAACTGTATGATTGAGTCTCAAGATTGTGCAGGTTTCTGTACTTCTTGGCTTGACCAGTCATACTTCACATGCTATACTGGCCCAGTTTTGATTTGTTTGGCGATTTCATAGTGAATCTCAATGTCATTCATAAGCCTTTTATAAGAAACTAAGACATTTTGATATATATTTTTTTCTTTCATTTTTTATTTTTTTTTTTTTACAGATTTTACATTTTTATTTTTCTACTTTAATAATGTTAAAAATATTTTACTGTATTGTTCATTATGTTTTATTTGTGAAGTTGACAGTTTTCGTGTTGGTGAAATAAATTGTGAAAAACGTTCACTGTTGGTATTCGATCAGATGGGATGGAATGTAAATTTGTTCTTCTGCCTGCCTCTTAAATACATCTCACACACGTATCTGAATCGATATCAGTGCATGCTTAGGGCTGGTGCATTGGTACGCACTGATGCCTCCCAGCTCTGGGACCAGAGATTGAGCTTCTGCCATAGCTCCGTGTGTGTGGAGTCTGCATGTTCTCCTCGTGTCTTCCTGGGGTTTCTTTGAAGTACTCTGGGTTTCCCCCCACAGTCCAAAAATATACTATGGTGACCATCCGTCCTTGGTTAGTACCTGCTGTGTGCCTATACTGTAGCTTCTGGGCCCCCATGACCTTGCATAGGAGGGACACATCTAGAAAATAAATGGATGAGTCACACTTTTCAATGGGCAGTGACAGGGCCTCAGATAGACAGGGCCTCGGATAGACAGGGCCTCAGAAACACAGGGCCTCAGATAGACAGGGCCTCAGATAGACGGCCTCAGAAACACAGGGCCTCGGATAGACAGGGCCTCAGAAACACAGGGCCTCGGATAGACAGGGCCTCAGAAACACAGGGCCTCGGATAGACAGGACCTCGGTGTCTGACCCCCTGAAAGTCTTTCTCACTCAATTAAGGGCAGTGATTTTTACAAAAGCATAATGTTCCTTCTGCTGTAAGCTTAGCTTACATTTTCACTACCTTTAACACAACAACAGCAATAAATATCAAACCAAATGCAGGAAAAAAACATGCAATGAAATGTGTAAATATAAAACTTCTTTTATTAATCAAAAACGCAGGTGAGCACTGATAGAAAAAAAGAATAAAAGCATGCAGGAAAAATATTTTTGTGACAACTGTAAATACTATGTATTTTTAATTTCACTTGTGTAGAAATATGTTCAGGAGCAGCAAAAGATGAAAATAAACAAATGAAAAGACTCCGGAACAGTAGGTGGCAGTAGACAGAATTTTGTCGGCTCCAAACTTGCAAGAAATCTTCGCGTTAATTAAAGCTCAGTTTTCCTTACATGCATAGAAATGTTATTAAAGCAATAGTATTTGAGATATTAGCTGCACGAAATATATATATATATATATATGTTTTAATATTAGCGGGGTGCCTGTACGTTGCGGGAGGGGGGCAGACGTAAACAGAGCGAGTCGCTGACGTAGATCAGCAAAGATGGCGGACCCTACCGTTATGGGTAGTGGGTCCTTAAACGCTGCCATGGTAAATACTGATATCTTTTGTATTTTACTTGGAACATTAACGACTGTTTATTAGCTACATCCGGTACTATGCAGTCGACGTTATTTATTTTAGATTTTTAAATGTTTTGGCTGCGTTGGGTAGTTTGTTTTCGTGGGGCTGCATGGCTCCAGTAGCAGGCAGTGGTATCAGTAATGCTGTATCATTTACGTATTAATTTATTTTTGGTATATAATGGTGTGTTACATGGTTAGCTGGTTTTGCTGGCTGGTTAACTGCCTAACCTAATCGTTGAGCTGGCAGGGGAGATGGCTACCCCAGAATTCAGCAGGCCTGATGAGCACTTTAGCTATTAGCCAAGTATGCTGCGTCGTTATTAGCCGAGCGAAATTAAAACGCTAAAAGGATCGTTAATCTGTATTTCTACAGAACTATACTTGTCGTTAGGACTGCATATCAGATATTGCATGGCATACTTAGCGATTTCTTTTGACAGTGAAATTTCCTAGCCAAATCATTGGGTAGATCTACTTTCATGGTATTTTAACGTTCGATACATATCATGATGACCATTATGTTTTAAAGGTTTTTACCATTGTTTTTACACTGTATTTTGTATAGTACGTGTGATCATCTGTGATTCTAGTTCTTCTTTCTGTTAAGTTCATCTTATTTAAATTAACGTTTACTTGCTTATTGACACGATTTGACTAATTTTAGTCTGGCAACCTGAATACTTTTTTTAAAGGCAGCCGTAGTAAATGATTGTCAGTTTTTGCGCTTACTATAATATCGATGGTTTTGTGGAATACTCATGTTTAAGTTTTAGCTAGTTATAAACGGCGTGAATGCTTCTAAAAACAGCATTTTAACTGAGTGGCTAACAAACTAAGAAACATACTTACACAGATTTACAGACAAGCGTGAGTCCCGCTATAGCACCTCTAGTATTTTTAGACTGATGAGTTTGACTGAGGCCTTGAGATGCATTTGTTACTGGTTGCTTGCATTTGTTCAGACGACACCATGTTGTTCTTGGGAGAGGGCTTGGGTGCAAGGTACATGTTACTGCAGCGTGGTATCATAAAGGCAAGATTTCTCTCACATTTATAGCTGGTTTTCCCTGCGTGATTATAATTGTAAATTGATGGTGAATAATATTCTGGAATACACCCCACCCCTCCCACAGCGTTCAGGTGGGGGGAAAACGACTTCCAGTCCTGCAGAGAATTACTGCCTAGCTCGAAGACGGACCTTGCAGGTGGTGATCAGCTCGCTGTTGACAGAGTGTGGCTTCGAAAGCGCTGAAAAGGCAGCGATGGAGTCACTCACGGAAATGATCCAGAGCTGTACGTAGTCACTCTGCGAACGCCTCGCTAGCTTCTCATTTAATATCGTGGGCCTTAGGGTCTGCTCTACCTGCCTCCATCCATCCTGCCAGTTATCCAGAGTCAGGTAGTGGGGGCAGCAGTCTAAGTAGGGATACCCAGACCTCTCTCTCACCAGCCACCTCCTCCAGCTCCTCTGGGGGATACCAAGGCGTTCCCCGGCCAGCCGAGAGGTATGATCTCTCCAGCATGTCCTGGGTCTGTCCCGGGGCCGCCTCCTGGTTGGACATCCCCGAAACACCTGCCTGGGGAGGCGTTAATCAGAGGCCCGAAAAACCTCACCTGGCTCTGTTCGATGTGGAGGAGCAGTAGCTCTGCTCTCTAAGGCTGACCCCAGACACCATGCCTATCTGTGTTTTCTCTATCTCTATTTGTGATCCATGCTGAAGAATACTTTCATATTCAGGTTGCATAACCTGTTTTCTGTTTGTCATTGAGGCCCCATTAAGGATGTCTTCCCTAATTTGCTTAATTTCTTGCCAGTGATTTTTGTGCACAACATAAACTGTCCTGTTGCTTTCTCAGACATCTCTGAAGTGGGCCGGTCCGCCAAAGCGTACTGCGAGCACACGGCGCGGAGCACGCCAACGCTGTCCGACGTAGTGGTCACGCTCGTGGAGATGGGTGAGATCCAGCAGAAAGTGCCACCTTGCCGATGGTCTCGCCAATAATGTGTAGAGTAGTATTTAACAATGTAGAATAATTACTGAGTATGTCAAGCAAATATTGTTTTCTGGGCATGATTACTGGGTCATTAATCCCCAAAATGGGTTGGGATGCTGGAAAGATTACGCTGATCAGGTTCCTTTGTTTTTTGCGGTGTTTTACATCTTGTGCCACTTCCTGCAGGTTTTAGTGTGGATGCTTTACCCATTTATGCCAAAAGGTCACAGAGGATGGTTATCACAGCACGTGAGTTTTCCGCACTCCTGTGACCTTCTGCTTTGTCGTCTGTCCTTCAGTTCAACAGGAGGACAGTTGTTTGAAAGTAAAATAATGATAAGCTTAAGATGTGCTGCTTAAAATTTTTGGACAGATTTAGTGAAATATTGCGGTTAGTAATTACAAAATTCTTTTTCATTGTTTTTTTTCAAATATTTTACTTAATGTTATGAACTATGGTGTGTAAATAAGCAGTAATGTTAATACGCTGTGTGTCAATAGCTTGTCCCTGAACTTGTCAGTATTGGTGGGGGGGTCACATTTTCCTTGGTCGTCACCTCAGCTCCCGTGACGAATGCCCCCGTGGTGCCCAAGGCCCTGGTGGCGGGACAGAAGCGGCAGCACCCTTCCCACATCCCCTGCTACTTCCCAGAGTTCCCAGACCCCCACACCTACATCAAAACCCCGGTAGGAGCCCCCTCCCCATCAAGAGTCATGACACAGCGTCGTCGTCACATTGCAGAGCTTGGTTGTACGTATTGCTGGGTTGTACGTGGGTCGCTGAGGTTGTTTTTGCTGTGCGCATACCCCCCCCCCCGCAGACGTTTCGGGAGCCGGTGTCTGACTACCAGGTGGTGCGAGAGAAGGCGGCCTCGCAGCGGAGGGATGTGGAACGCGCGCTCACCCGCTTCATGGCCAAGACGGGCGAGACGCAGAGCCTCTTCAAAGATGACATCACTGCCTTTCCATGTGAGCCCTTATCTGCCTTACTGTCCTTTTTGTCATATCTCCTTCACCACAGAGTCCTGCACGGGTCCACTTTCGGAGAGCTGCACCCACCCGCACAGTACAGCACCACACCCGCCCGTGCACCCGTGATTATTTTAAAGTTAAAGCCGCACCCGCCCGGGCCCGTTAACATTCCGCCCGTTACCCGCCCGTCCCCTACATAAATTACACACTATTATTTTTTCTGTGCACCTCTCAACGTGACAAGCTCTAGGCCTACATGAATTTTGAATTGAAACGAAAAAGTCTGTTTAACACAAAATCAAATCAGATAGATCTAAGCTATGCATACTGTGACGAGCATGAAAGAGAGAACACGACGACACGCTTCAGCAAGGATTCAGACGTGTATGTGAATGTTTGTCGAGGCGGTTATCTAATGGTGCGTTCGTTTTTCTCTCGGAACTCGGAAATTCCAAGTTGAGTGACATCACGTCCGACAATCTCCTGTTCGAGCTACCACATCTCGGAACAAACATGGCTGCCTCCATGAACACGCTGGTGTGTGTTGTTGCTTTTTATTTTAGCAGATTTGGAGTGAGATTATTTTTTTCGAGACAAACAAACAAGAAACACAAACTAGTCAAACCACATTAAAAGCTTTATAAAATATTTCAGCACATGCATAGCGATTTTCTTTTTTCGAGAGGCAAACAAACTACAAACAAACCAAAGACACTAACAAGTCTGGTAAAAATCTGATATTGCATGCTAGGATACTGTTTATGGTCATGATATGGTATTCTCTAAATTGAACACATGCAGTTACATTTATAATTGTTAATACATTTAACAAAATAAACATTTTTAAAGATTTATAAAATAGAATTACTGAATGTGTAAGCCACCACGTTGAAATTACATCACAGGGGCAACTCGGACAACAAAATCTTGTCTGACATCAATGTCATAAGAGCTGTGTTTCCGACGGGAAGTGACGTTTCGTGACGTTTTCATCCGAGTTCCGACTTGGAGAGAAATAATCGAACGCACCATAAGGTACCCCCGACATACTGAACACACTGTGATGATGACAATTTGTACATGATAGTCTAATACATAGATATTTTCGCTTATGTTATTTTTGCAGGCTACTATACTGTTTTGATTGACCTGCTACCCGCCCGTGTGTAATGAATTACCCACCCGTAAAATTCCAGAACATTAAAATCCGCCCGTTTCAGCATCTGCGGGTACCAAACTCGTGCAGGACTCTGCTTCACCGTGTTCAGGTGGCGGTGAGACTTTATTGATTACTAAGAGAGTCCTTCCTTTGCCATTTGGGTGAAGATCCCTATGAGTGCATATTTCAGAGACTTCAGTCCTCTGTCACTGGTTGTGGAGAGATCCGTGTTTCTGCTTCATCTCAAAGACGTTCCGAAATGTGAGACTGAGACCACTGTCACCTTTAAGTAACTGTTCTAAGAAACAAAAATGCTGTGACCATTAACCGAGGCTGTTAAGTTGCCTCAGTAATTACAGTTTTCTGTATCTGATGGTCTCGTGTTTGTGGTCTTGTTGCTTAGTGATTGCGGCGCGACCGAGTTCCATCCCCTACCTGAACGCCCTTCTGCCGTCTGAGCTGGAGCTGCAGACGCTGGAGGAGACGGATTCATCAGAGCAGGATGATCAGACTGACAACGAAAACACCCCTGGCAACATTATTAACGTGAGCTGCATCCATCCTCCCACGCCAGTATTACGCAAACTCATCAAAGGTCCAGTTAAAGCTGAAGAGCAGGTTCCCGGTTTCTGAAAATGTGAACAGCTGGCTTCTTTGAGTCTGACTGGCTTCTTTTATCCTCTTGCACAATATTAGGATGAATCTGGAGCTGATAAGGAGAACTCGGTACTGCCACCTGGTGGAGTGGTGCCTGCAGTGAAGGCCAGCGAGGAGAATATGATTGACAACCCATATCTGAGGCCAGTCAAGAAGCCCAAAGTGAGGAGGAAGAAGTGAGAGCTGAGGGTGGCAGATGGACTCACGCAGTGAGAAAGGAGGGCCGCATGGAGCGTCGCTCTCAGTGACACTCACTCTCTTGCCACGACAGTGTTTCCACAAGGGGCAAACTTTCAGTGCGATATAGAGTGAGGTTCCTGTCATCAGCAGCCAGCTTTGTGTGTGTGGTGGGAACTGCAGCTGTTCAGATGTATATTTTTTATTGGACAAATAATTCTGTTCCTTCAAATGTAAACCATCCAGACTATTGTCTCTTTTGTCCATTGCAAATTTATACAATTAGGGAATAAATTTAATTTTGCGGGTTTATTTTTATACACTTTCCCTTGAAATAAGCCTCTCATGCATTGCTCCTTTTAGTTCTCCGCAGGAGAGTTAAATGTATTCATTTTTAAAAATCAAAATTGCTGACCAACACAAATGATGCAGATCTAAAAGCAGTTTTTACATTCTCTGTAAGGAAGAGCTGTCTTTTCCAGTTACAGGCCAAATGAGAGGCTTTCTGATCTACCTGTATATATGTGTTCTAGGGCGTTAAGTCTGCAATTTTGTAATAATTTAAACTGATCTGAACTGAGTTTTGGCTTTAACATGGCTGCCAAAATGGTTCCTAAGTATTTTAATAAAATGTTCACTACTGCCAAATGCACAGTTTGCATCATCATTTCCGGCAACTTTTCCTGCTTAGGGTCCAGGTGGCATCCGTATAAGGTGCCAAAGTCACCTGGGACACCTCACACGGCTTGGGAATCAATGAATGAGGTTTATTGGCTGTACTGTCAGCTGTTCAAGATGGCGACCGCTTGGGGAAATCTCCCCAAAGAATTGCAGCCTACATATGGAGGCTCTCACCACTATAGTGACTTCAGCTAGTGATCCACTGGAAGTCTCTGTGAAGAACACTGCCTCCTAGTGGGAGGGAGGTATCTTCTGGCTTAAGCAGTTCTCTTCACTGCTTCTCCAGAGTTTGTCAACACTGCCTATTCAGGCTGAACACAGCCAGAGTTAGGTCCCATCTCCCGCTTTGCCAAAACATCTTTGGGGTTACCCAGTAATCTTCCTCCATGGCCCCTCCAAATTCGTCCCTGTAACCTTTCAGCTGTCCGGCTGAGCCTAGCCAGGTTACGTGGGTGACCCGGCTCCAGTGGTGGCTCCCAGTAACCCGTTATGTTTCTGAGATGGAACCACAGGCACTAGTATTCAAACCCCATTCAGAATTATCGGGGTCATGCATCTTGCCCAAAATTAACCTTTTGACCTTTCCTGTGTTTTTTTATACACAGGAATATGATTTGTTGTTTGAAGGAGCAAACGATGTACCAGTGGCCTGAGAGGCTAAATACACAAATATTTCTGGTTAAACTCTATGCTTCCTTGTATTTGTTGGGGAAGAAAGAAACCACCAGAGCACTTGATGTATAAAAAAACAGTTGGGAGTTTCCTGTTTGTATAGGACATTCTGTAAAATAGCCATTGTAGCAGAAGGCAGCGGTATCAAATTCAGGGCTCTGTAATCTTTAGTTGGTCTGGAGCAGGGGTGGCAAATCTTATCTGCAAAGGGCCGGTGTGTGTGGCGGGTTTTCACTGCAGCTCCCTAATTATATTACTAACTGGAGGACTGATTGGCTGAAGAGTCCTCACACCTGGGTTTGAACAGCTGACCTACAGGTTATCCCTAAAACCTGCACACACACCGGCCCTTTGCGGATAAGATCGGCCACCGCTGGTCTGGAGTATAGTTTTGTTTTCACTTCACAGCATTAGATGGAAGGGCTTAAACTTGATATGGTGAACTTTTGATATAGCTAATTTATGTGCATTTACAGTACCTTTCATTATATCACTTCCCAAAGAGATCTGTACGTTTTGCAACACATTGTAGAAAAACATTTCAAATGTGTAAAAATGGATCTACAGAAACAGGTGAAAAAACATTTATTAGCTGTGATGCTTCTTTTAGCTTCAGGAGTAGATTTAGGAGTAATAGAGGTGTAGATATGCCACCCGGTTCCTTTGCTTTCGGAATTCCTTGTCACTAATGAGCTAAAATGACAAATTTGAAATCTGAATTAATGCATTTTATGTTGTACCTGTGGTCTTAAAAAGTCACTGAATCCTGAGGTCAGTGCGCGCACCTCTGTCCTCAGGCTCCGCCTCTTCAGCATGGGCACCTGAGTCCAGTCGGGGGGGCCGAACCTCATTGGCCACGATACTTTCCTAGTGTGGGGAGCATCATGAGCATACAAGCCTGGGCTGTGGAAAGAACTGGCAGTTAGTGGGGGATTGTGATCAATCTTTCAGTGACACTGAACTTATGCAAGCATCTGAATGACAGCTCCTCCTTTGGCAATCGACTCATCGGAAATTATGGGTGGGTTTCAGTACTTTATCCTTGTGACCAAGTCCAATAGTATTACTGCATGCTGCCAGTTTGTGGCATTACAGGGTCACATCCTGGGCGCCATGCTAATACGTCACAGGGAATTGAGAGGCAGCACCAGACAGGGTCACATCCTGGGCGCGGTGCTAATACGTCACAGGGAATTGAGAGGCAGCACCAGACGGGGTCACATCCTGGGCGCGGTGCTAATACGTCACAGGGAATTGAGAGGCAGCACCAGACGGGGTCACATCCTGGGCGCGGTGCTAATACGTCACAGGGAATTGAGAGGCAGCACCAGACGGGGTCACATCCTGGGCGCGGTGCTAATACGTCACAGGGAATTCAGAGGCAGCACCAGACGGGGTCACATCCTGGGCGCGATGCTAATACGTCACAGGGAATTCAGAGGCAGCACTTCGTAGGAATAAATGTCTTTCACCTGTAGGAGGAAACTGGAATATGCTGAGGAAATCTACGTCCTACAGGGAGAGCATCATGCTGCAGACACACTGAGCAGAGGTGGGGTTCGAAGCCTAAAAACAGGCAGGATGATTGTTACTCACCCAGGGTTAGAGTCCAGTGTTACCCGCTGGGTCATGAACCTCTGTGTAGATGAGGAAAAGGGGGGTTTGCAGGGTGGGAGGAGCTTAAGACAGGACCAATCGTTCTGATACTTCTGGGGGGAGGGAGTGTTGGTCTAGCAAAAACATGGGCACATCATGTAGAAATAACTATAGCACCTTTATATGTCACCAAATATACATGCACAAAATACACTTATAAACCGCAGATAGATTTTTATTGCTGTGAACCTGTATTTCCAGTATTTCAATTTACAGGAAAAATGTGTGGTCAGAGTATGTGTGGTCTGATGTGCTGCTGAAGAAAACATGAGATGTTATCAGATCATGTGGTTTTACTTCTTTTTACACCTTGCAAAGTACACATTATGCTACAGTTTCATATATACAGTTATAAGTATTTACACGATATGGACAAAAGTACTGCGACACCCATAGTAATAACAGGAGTTGCCGACATAAACCACACCCACTGCTGACATACTGGTGTATAACTAAGCACTCAGCCATGCAACCTGCAGTGTCAAACAATGGCAGCAGTATTGGGGGGGGTCATACAGAAGAGGTTAGTCAGCCCAGCACCGTCATTGGACATCTTTCCAACAAGTCAGGTCTCTAGATTTCTGTCCTGCTAGAGCCACTCTGGTCAAACGCAAGTGAAGTGACTGTGAAGTGGAAACGAGTTCAGCTGCAAAGTGGTAGGTCATGCAAGCTCCCAGAAAGGGACCTGATCAGCCAGTGTCAATACCCAACCTGAATGGCAGCAAATCCCACCAGCAATGTTCCTGTGTCTAATGGAAAGCCTTCCCAGAAGAGCACAGGATACTATAGCAACTAAGGCTTAGTCTTAATACCCTTTAATTCAGAGTGAGATGTTGAACAGGCTGGAGTACCAATACTTTTGTCCATATAGTGCATATAAGACGTTTAAAAGTTATGACCCTAATGAAAGGCAGGGCTTTGGTTTCTGAGTGTTCTCCTGGAGTACCTGGGCTGGGGGCAGGAAGCGGGCTGCGGTTCTTGCTGCCAAGATGTAGCCTTTCTTGCTCAATGGCCTCTTCTCCAGCTCATAGACAATAGTGCCCACCTAACAAAACGAAGAGAAAAAACCAGCACATGCCAGGTTCTAATCCCAACTTTGTATGCCAACCATAGTTTGATAATATAGGAATTGCACCAAAACCTTAAAGGGATAAACAGGGGTTTCTACTAGAAGAGCTGCTATGGTAGAGTCAAATCTGGACGAGAAACAAGCACCATTCCAGAAGACAGGGCCCCCTCAAAAGATGCCTCCCTAGGCAGCCGCCTATATCACTTATATTACTGACCCGAGAGAATAGAGGACTTGTAGAAGGAAGACGCACCCATATAATGTATTAGGAAATAACAAAAGTGAACGTAATGCAACTGTGGCATGGATGTAACCTACAGCTACAAAAAACTGAGACCACAGCAACATTTTTAGTTTCACTTATTTCTCAGCTTACGGGAAATGCGTCTGTCTAAAACTGCAGCCTGGCTCTTCCCTGCTTCTCATCATGAAGAGTGTCTTCCTTATGGGTCTTCGATTGCTTCTAGGAGTCCTAGAGGTCCTAACTACCGTAGCAGTGTCCTTCATGCCACATTAATTCTTTTTGAAGGTCACTTGAGGTCATCCTGCAAAAACGTGCCTTTTTATTTGCCATATGCACAAGTGCAGGTAGCTTGGGATGCTTTTCTTTCGCAGCCCCATCTTGCTCTCCATAGCTTGGGGGGTGACAGCAGAGTCAGATAACATGCAGAACCCCTGGAGCTGGGGATTCATGGCCTCAAGGACCCACAGACATGTGACTGTTCTGTCAAGCGTGGAGCTTGACCTAGCGGTCTTCTAATCACAGGCGCCAAGACTTAAGCCCACAGAGCCACCCCCCACCCCGGTTCGCATGGCTGGATAAGTTGCACCTGGCATTAGAGCATTAGAAAGCTGCTTCTGCCCACATCCTGGCTGGTTTCTGGTCGTTCCCAGTGTCTCCTGCTTCACTTAATTCTTGTGTACTGCTGTCTTAGAGATTTTGAGCCTGGAAGCTGCCTGCCTCGCAGTGTAGCCTCTGCCAGCAGAACCAGGATTAAACACAGATTTAAAATGCAGATTTTAAAAAAATATAGAGTGGTCTCTTGATTTTTCCAGAGCTGTATTTTCCCTGTCTTTTCATTATGTTTTGTGTTAGTGATCAGAAGCAGCATGTTAGTGATTAAAGCAGGTGAGGAGACCACTGTGGTCAACAAGACTCCAATGACAGTGTTTATAATAGCAAAAGCCCTGCAGTCAACTCACAGTGTGGTTGTCATAGCAGCCGGGACCCCGGTGTGGACATCCTTTCAGTGATAGCTCGTTTCCCATCCGATCCGGAGCGCAGTGGTATGGAAACAGTGTTCGCTCTTGGCAGCTACCAAAAACCACATTCTGTGGTCCTTTAAGAAAAACTGTAGAATGAGGTGCACTGCATGAATTTATAACTACACAAAATACATCTACCAGGAAGAAAACTGAATATTCACAAAAGACCATTCCAAAATCCAGAGCGGTGTGTTTCCAAAACAAAAATCTGGAAAGAAATGGGAAATAATGATGACGGGAGTGAGTTAGAGCTGTTCACTAGTGAGAGGCCACTGAACACGTCTGTATTGGATAATTCCGGGTCTCCAGGGCTACTGACATTTTCCCGCATGTTCTTTTGAGGCACAATGCCCGTCACCTTCAGTGTAATACCGTTGAGGTTCTATGCTGTTCCAATCAGCAGAGGCTGCCGCCTGTGTACTGTCCCACGCGAGCAACGGACGCAAGGTAGAGAATAACCCAGGACGGGGCACCTACCAGAACCCGTCATTATGACTTATGATAGGAAACCCTTTCACCTCTGCGGGATATCAGTATAATGGTATATTTGTCCTGCATAATACTCAGTTAAAATGTACTTTTTAAAATGTACTTATATATATATAAACTCCTGTCGGCATTTATTTTTTAATACTTATTGCCTAGCAACACAGAATATCCAGAAGTACTACAGTGATCACACAATGCCAGGCTACAAAACCTGATCTAAATACACTTCTAACAATCAATTGTGGTGGCTTCATGCTCCTTCTCTTTAGAGTACTCTTATCTACTCTTATACACTGTTAATTATCTTTACACCAGCAGTCCATCCACCCATGGATGTTACTTTACAACCATCACCATTAAACTGATGATGTATCACTTGTTTGACATGGAAACGTTGCGGACGTGTAGCTAAGGGTAAAAGGTCTGATCAATTGATATAGGCTATTTAAATTAATGTGTCTGGACCAAATCACGCCAGACTAGTGGTTGAAAGCTAAACGAGTAAACAATGTGGTTAAATCAGCAGCGATTATTTGAGTGCTTTTTGTATTAGTGAAATGCAAATATCCATAAAATAGCCTACTGAACACATCGAGCCTAACGTTACTGATCAGTCATGTTTAGAGTCAGTGCTGTACAAAATTGGGGCTTCCGCCTGCAATGCATGAAGACTATTTACGTGCATTTATTAACATATAACATTTCGCTAGGGTTTGACCATCATTAACTGCCTATATAAACTGTGGCAAAGTAAATGAAGACGGCCAGCAGTCACTGACCTGCGTACCGTACCGCCATGCCAGTTCCCCCGTTTACATTAATTTTTTTAACGTCGCAACTTGTTGCCATGGAAACAAAATGTTTGCCCATGGATTGGCGCAGTGTGGGGGCAGTCATTTGCTTGCAGATTACAACAAATTATGATCAATTAAATCACACTAGAGAATGTTAACAGTATACATTCTGAGTGCGGTTCTACGATCTGTCCATCAATTTTGTTTATTATGTCAACTAGTATGACTAAAGTTTACGGCTGGAATGTTTCTATATTTACCGTCGAAACAAAAGACGCATAATGATATTAGTTGATTTATTTAAAAATGTGTTTTCTGATGTGAAAATTTTCAACTTAATAATGGCCAGACGCTACAGATTTCGAACAAAGTCATCTTTCCGATTTGGGGTTGTATTGCAATTCGCGCCACTAGGGGTCAGACTTTACCCGACATACAGCAGCAGCCAGAGTTAATTAGTCTAAGCTTCTGCGTATACTGTAGGTCAGACTATCTTTCTCTTTTTAGCTGCATAGTAATAGTTCTGAAGGCCTACATTTTCAGTGAAAGGGTCACTTTTGACTTATTTAATGCTAAAAGATGTTTATTGGTCATTTTAATAAAGGCCAGCTCCTTCAAGATGGACACTCTGACTTTACTGACAGCCAGAGGTGGACAGCTCAACCGGTTGGTTGAAACAAAATCCTGGTTTGGATTTTTTCCTTCTGGACCTGAAATGCCCACCTCTGCCTGCACCACCTCCTCCGATGGTCTAGCTATCGTGCTTTCACAGAAACGTTGCATTAGATGGGTTGGTTGTACATCAGAAGGCTCTAGAACAGTTGGGGGCACAGTGGTTGCTTTTGCTATTCCACTGCCATGTCTGTCAGCTCAGCTTGTGGCCATCTTCTTCCTTGAGCGTTGCTGTGTCTACATAGAGGTGTTGCCAGTTGGGACAGCACACTGAGGCTGATGATTCAGGGGTCACTTCTTGCTCTTTGGTCTGCCCCACTAGCCTGATGCTGAGCCACGTCTCCCCCCTCATAAGCGTGCGCACACCGATGATGGACATGAGGCAGATCTCAGACTAGCCTGATGCTGAGCCACGTCTCCCCCTCATAGGCGTGCGCACACCGATGATGGACATGAGGCAGATCTCGGTGGCCTCCCACCCTGGAGGGGCCACCTGGTCAGTGACTGGGAGGAGGTTCAGGCAGATGAGGGTGATGGTTCAGCCCATGTCCTCAGCAATATGTGCCCTCCACTATACAGTCCACATGCAGACCATGTTCAGGGCCCAGCCAGCCCACTTAACTAAACAGGGATGAAGGTCCCATACCGGGTGATGCGGACGAAGACTCTGTCAGTGACAGGTTCACCGTCACACCTGGGGGCACAGTATGGCTAGTGGTTGGCATGGTGTTGATGGTGTAGACAGGATTGCTTTCACGTAGCTGGGACTCGTAACTGGATGTGACAGTGACATGTGACAGTGTCTTAACAAAGGCATGATGCGGCAGCTCATCCTGCATGGCACTGGAGTAACATGGGGAGCTCCACTGGGTAGCCAGTTCCCCCCTCATGATCTCTTCTGATGCTGCCAGCTGAAACGTAGCTTCATCACTGTGACCAGGGTAGCGTAATCTCACTACTCCTTTGGGGACGGGCTAGGGAGGACCTGAAATACCTCCCCTGCAGGACAAGCATGAAGTGGACTGCTATCTCCATAGTACCCTAGCTGTTGTGTCATGCTGGGAGGTGCACCTGGATGAAGTAGGGCTCCATGAAGGACTCCTTCGCACCAAAGCAAAAGACACAATGCACACCTCCCGGGGCTTCCCTCTGCTTCTCCAGCACAATGCACACCTCCCGGGGCTTCCCTCTGCTCCTCCAGCACAACGCACACCTCCCGGGGCTTCCCTCTGCTCCTCCACCGCTCCTCCAGCACAACGCACACCTCCCAGGGCTTCCCTCTGCTCCTCCAGCACAACACACACCTCCCAGGGCTTCCCTCTGCTCCTCCAGCACAATGCACACCTCCCAGGACTTCCCTCTGCTCCTCCAGCGCAACGTACACCTCCCGGGGCTTCCCTCTTATCCTCCTGGTTCATTGAAGTTGTCGGCTCAAGTCAGTCCCACATCTGACACCAGTGCAGCAGGTGTGAGGGTCATTTTAATAAAGGGAGATGACAGCTCTTTTAAAATGGAAGGTCTGACTTTATTCACAACTCACTGCCAGTGATAATTAACAGCAGCACAGACAGGGTAGTTGATGGTTTAAACGATAGTCACACTCAGGGTAGACACTAACAAAAACACACGCATCCCATGTAGAAATTATCAAACAATGGTAAAAACACAACAAAAAATAAATGTTTTTAATAAGATGCAAAAATGTGCAAATAAAGCATTTTAAACCGATCTCCTCGTCAGTTTTCAAGACAAACCCCGGCTCTCTCATTACATTTTCTCCTTCTCGCCCTCACAAACCCACTGATAAAAAAAACCTCGGTAACAGTAAACAATCGTTCTTCACTTTCAGCTGTCTCCTCTGTGAACACCAGCAGACATTGCATCATAAAATATATCAAAATATGTGCTGCACAGCAGCAAGCAATTAATGTTTTCTGACTAAGATTCATTCCTTCTTTCTATTATTTCCCAGGCATCAAATACAATTTGTTTCAGAACCTCCGTAAGTCAACACAACCGATTGTTGCTGGTCTTTACATGCCTTGACAACAGTGCAACAAGTCTTTAGGACGCATGCAGACGGTTGGCGGAATTCCTGCGCCCGTTAGCCGCCTGATACTTGGCTTTATACTCATTATCTTCATCCATGGCCGCTGCTGCCTCCGCCCTCCGGCTCACGATTTCGAGCTCAGTCATCCGTCGTTCCAGAGCTGACAGCTGCGCCAGATCTTCATCCGCTGGCTCTTGTTCATAAAAGGGCTGGCAGACAGTCTCCAGCACCCCGACCGCCACTCCGAAGAAAGCCAGGACTGAGCCGACCAGGTACACCTTCGCCATACCTCGGCTAGGCTTCTGGCTCAGAATTTCTTTGGCGAACGGGACGAACTCGTGGACGGTCTCCATTTCCTTTAAATTCTAGAAAATTTAGAAAAATGCAGAAGATAGTTAAGACGCTAGTTGAAATGTCAAATGTTGCATTTAAAATGAAAAGTAAATGTATTTGCTGCATATAATGCCGATAAATCACAAGTAGAATACAATGATGCGAACAATAATTCATCATAAAGTAAAATACAGTAATGTGTGTTCCTTTACGGAAAGAATAATGTATCGTAGCTTAAGTTCGTTCATCGATAAGAGAAATACTTACGGAACTTCTTGAGTATCTAAATGAAGAACAATAGAGGACGTTTTTAATAAGCAAAACACAATCCCAAGAAATGCTGCCGAATGTAGTTGCTGCTGTGAAAGCTCTGTATATAAAGGGCTTTTCCACACCCTTTGTCCCCACCCACATATTGGCGGTATATTAATATTTATAAAGAAGCACGCGCGTTGTGTGTGCTAGGGCAAAAGCTGCAGAAGCCCGAGTCCCCGGCACGTTCATCAAAATCACACGCATACGGCCGCATGGTGCAATGCCCTCGCGACATGACCCTCCAATTATAAGTTAGAATGTCCCCAACTAAAACAATGACAAAGTTTGCCCACTTTTTATTTGTAGCCGGAGTGTTATACTTACGTCATACTTATAGCTATAGGCTAGTGTGATACTTATGCAGAAAGCAGTTTTAAACGTAAATACATATAAGTACTCCTAATTAGTTTTCTATGATGAATACATCAATTTCTCACTGTTGATTTTTTAGATGAGGATCAAATCTTTTTTAAATACAATGAGTTGTACGTGTATTTTTTAAATATTACATTTTAAACATCTTCATTTTCTGTATAGACAGGGACTTAAAAGCCGAGGATGGGGGGGGGGGGGGGGGGGATTAAAGGGGCGTGTACCCCCAATATTTAATTTGGTTTCATTCACCATCTCCAATAAATAGATCCGTGTATTTAAAGTACTGAGTTGTGCCACCCCCCAGTATCAAACTGGCCCCTTTGCTGTTGAGTAGATACAGTATAGAGACACGCTGTGATCATTTAGTTTAACATCGTACTGCACGTACAGCACCGATGAGAAGGCAAACGTGTCCCTTAGATTATTGTGCCAGCAATGATGGGGGACGAGCTCATATTTTGCCTATTTGTGTGTGTGTGTGGTACAGAGTGCTCTGGGCGTACATTCCGTTTCGAGAGCGCACGCATCAGACATTGCGCTTCGTGGTGAGCAGGTATTTCCTCACGTTACAAGTACACAATCACCTGGCATGATAAGACTAAATCATCAAGCCAGTTTTTATTCGAGAATTTAAAAGGAAAACACGTGATGTTGTTCTTCACTATCAATATACCCTTTCACCTATTAACGGTAAATATTCGCATAGGTAAGAAATGGTAGGATAGGCGGGGTTTAAAAGTACAGAAGTTTTACATTCATCCCTCCATATCCTGGACGGGGTCACCGGTCACGGGACATATTAATTCTACAAATGACTGTGGCGACGAGAGGAACAATACCATTTCTTAAAAAACATTGAAGATGTCGTATTGTCCATAGATCATCATCATAAAATGACTACATGCTCTACGCGGACACATGGAAATTAGTGCAAAAGTCAATGAACCCGTTGGAGCAGCGGTGCCGTTTCCCGTTGACTCAGACAGACAGTCAGACCCCATGAACTCACTGCTGCAGCCGTACTGGAGGTTTGAAGAAAACAATAAGTACAATCAAAACAGTAGCAAATGGTCGGAAAGCCATGACCAGTGTGAGGCGAAGTATGATACACTGGAATATTGAGTAATAGTATGATTTGTCTGAATGAGTCAGTCCTTGTACCCGGGAAATATTGGGCTAGTCTGCTGAAATGTATTGTATGATAGTAAACGATTATGTAGCATATATATAGCAGTGTTTCTCCTCTTTGTCTGATGTTGGACCGCGAGCACTACTGCTGTTACAGCTGGCCCATATTATACAGTAAATGTAAGAAAATATCACAAATCAGTTCTTCATAGGACATTTATAAACTATTACACTTAAAGACAATGAAACTATGTATATTCTATAAGTTTTTATATATTTTTATAAATGTAAAAAGTAAATGTAAATTTGATCAACTGTTGGGTCACATGGTACCAAATACAGTATAAAAATTATCACTATAAAGTATTGTATGTCATACTTTTTGCTTACTGTTCCTTAATGTCCCTAGATGGTGACAGTGTACCCAGTCACCAAGAAAGGTCTGCCTTGTCTTGGTCAGAAAAGCCCATTCAGGAAGAACCTCAGAGAACCACTGTGTGGATGATGGCACTGTAAGAGCTACAGTGCTGAATGGCTGTAATGTGCGGATCAGTGGTAAGTGACAGCAGCTTGCATGGCTGGGGGGCACGAAAAAAGCCTGCATTGGTTCACAGAAGCGTATATGAGCAATTCATGCAATAATATGCAGATTATGGTCAGAAACCCCCAAAAACGAACTTTTAAAATATTTTTTAAAAACCAAGTATATACATTTGTTCCAGATCCATCATAAAGGGTTTTCTTTACAATTCAAACACTAGGTGAGCAGCTACTGGGTGTTGTTAGACCCCCTGTGTACCCTGCCTCGGACAGCCGGTTAGAAGATGATTAGACGGACCGGAAAAATAAAAAGGTCGAAAGGTGATTTCGATAAGTAACCACTAGGGGGCAGACTTTAACTGATAGAAGCACCACTTCAAACTGCTGGTACAAAGTAGGATTTTGTGGCTATTACGGTTTAAGGTCTATAATAGGTACTGCAGTTTATACCTATGGTTCTCCATAATATACCCATGGCTACATTGTATTTATTCTACAAAGCCTACATTAGGGAAGTCTGGTGTTATTCAGAAATCTTGTGTTACTGTATGTAAGTCAGCAAAATGTTGAGTTATGTTGAGCTACTAAAAACTTGTGTCTACCTGGTAGAAATTATCTGTTTTGCTTCCTGATGAACCTGGCTAAGTGCAAATCAGTTTTATTTGTCGTTGTTAGCAGTAGTTGCAAAACTTGTGAAAGCCAATTTTATAAAAAATGAAATGAACCAAAGAACTTGCTTAAATAAAAAATTTATTCAATTTAAAAAATATAAATTCATGTACAGACGAGTGTAACATGACAGGCACCATCACATATGGCACCGTAACACGTCTCCGGATTTCCGCTGCACAGCAGCTATGCCCCCGTCTCCCTGACAGCGTGATCTTCCACAAAACCTTGGTCTTGAAACATCTACCCCATTCATGATCCAGACAGGTTCACCATTCAAGTCCAGCTTTTTAAGGGTGGACCTGCAGAAGCTTGGCTGTGTTTACATATATGCTGAGTAGGCACATTCATGAAGGCCACCCCTACGATGCATGCAGCCTGTTGGCTGAGTTCCTCCTCGCAAGCATTGCCTGCTGCCTGGTTTTCGATCCCAAGTCCTCCTCCAGGACTGCTGCTGCCTCCATTCTCCACCTCAGCTTCTTTTCAGCTTCTTGCTGCTCCAGAAGGACAAGCTGTGTGATCTCCTCGTCCATGGGCTCAGGGGTATAGAAGGGCTGTAACACAATCTCCACAAACCCAATCATCACCCCAAAGAGTGCCAGCATGGAGCCCACCAGGTACACTTTCACCATGCCATTGCTGGGCTTCTGACTTCGAATTTCCTTGGCAAACTGGATGAGTTCTTGGATATTCTCCATTTCTTTAAAATTCAGCTAATTAGAAAGAAAAAAAAGAGAAAAGGTGAGTAATAGATCTGACAGTACAGTTTGCCAGTATTCTGCTGATTCAGCCTTTGACTCAGTTACAGAACGTACAGTTAGTTGTTCAATTGTTGAATAATCTGATTTAGGTGGGGAAAGAGATTCAGTGAAGTTTTAATTGAAAATAATTTTGAAGTCGCGATGTTTTAGTTAGGCAGCCGATTGCAAAATAAAAAGTAATTGAATATAATGGCTTAAAATTGGTAAAATGAAGGGGGGGGGGGCTTTTAAAAAGGCAGATTTCGCAGGATTAATTCAAAATCTTAAAACATCGAATGCGACACGATACAATATGAACATTAAAGTCACAGGAAAACGTAGCCAAATTCAATCCCCGTGACAGTTGAGCTTTTAGATATACCTATGCATTACCAACCAAATTTTAAAGTAATAATCTTGCGTTATATACTTACGACTTGTCTTATGCGAAGTGTTTACAAGAGATCCCCTTTGAAAGAACGTAGGACTGAGTTTATATAGCAAGTAACAATTTTTCATGGGGCGCGGGGCTTAAAACGGAAGGACTCTGTGCCCACGCCCAGTTATAGGCGGGCTGTGGATGTTCATGCGGAACTACGTGAGTTACGTGTTCTGGGGCTGCTGTGTGCCGTGTCGGAGCTCTTGTCCCTGGCCACACAAACCCACGTTACCAAACTCCAAACGAACACACACGTGTTCCTCCTAGATACCTTGCTCAGTAGTAAAGTCCGAGGCTCGAGTGGAAACATTTGTATCTGAAATCGGTGTTTTGTCCAAGTGGTGAATCTGGGAGAAATCCTGGATAAATTTACATTGATAATATATACATTTTCTTTAGAGAGGTACAATAGGAAAACTAACTGGTGAATTGCAAATTCACTCAAATGGGACTAAGAAAGTAGTTTGAACCAAGTTATGCAAGAACTAGTTGTAATTTAATAGGTTGGCATGTCAGGCCCAGTTCTGCTCTTTTCTGTCACCAAATGACTTTTAACTTTGAAGTTCTTCGAATAACTTTCATAGTTGAGGTTAATGTAAGCAGATCAACATATTTACTAATATGAGATATATTATGCTAATTATGGTGTAGATAAGCATATTGTTAATGTACCTTTCACGCATTTCGGGTCAAATTTCAGCAAGTAAGCGAGTAAACCAATTAGGCAGCGATTGGCCAAATGCAGTAATGTATTAAAAAAACGTTTATACATGTTTCTCCCGGGGGGGATGGCATGGTGGTGCAGTGTTTGGCACTCTCATCTCGCACCTCTGGAACATGGGTTCGAGTCTCCACCAGGGCTCCATGTGTGTGGAGTTTGCATGTTCTCCTTGTGTCGTCATGGGGTTTCATCTGGGTACTCCGGTTCCCCCCCACCCCCAGTCCAAAAACATGCCAAAACTAATTGGAGTTGCCAAATTACCTGTAAGTGTGCACTGCGATGGATTGGTGCCCCATCCTGGGTTGTTCCCCACCTTGTGCCCATAGGCTCCAGACCCCCACAACCCTGAATAGGACAAGTAGCTTCAGGAAATGGATGGATGTTTTTCCAATGGGCACCCAGTCCGCAGTGCTGAACCCGTTCACCATGCTGCCAGTGTGTTTCCCTGCCAGCATAATCACAGTGAAATCAGGAAACATGTTCCTGTCACCCCATAAGAGAGATTTGGCTGTTGTGTAATATAGCATCACTAATTTTCACAGTACAAGTACACTACATCCCATTTTACGTTCCAACATGTTACGCTAATCATTCCGGGAGACAAAACACCCACTCATGACCCCCGCAGCCACTCACGACCCCCGCAACCACTCACCGACCCCCGCAGTCACTCACGACCCCCACAGTCACTCACGACCCCCACAGTCACTCACCGACCCCC